TCTCATAGGCATGCATGCATGACGTATGAATCAAAATCTCTAGTGATATTTATTGACCACCAGAAAGTACTACATTTAACCCCGAGAAAGTTCCATGGTAAAAAGGGGAGGGTAATTTAATGTATTGTAATTTACGGCTCTTCGGATTATGAGTTAGTCTCATGTCCTAGGTTCGAATCGTGTTGGTTAGGAATCCTGGAAAAAAGCGGGGGACAGAGTGATGGGTTCTTTGAGCCCCTCCGAAGGTTGCTTTGTAGGGTCGGATTCTTTAATCTGACCTTGGGAGGTCCTACGTTATCAAAAAAAAAAAAGTTACTATTATTCTAGAATGGTAAAATGTTAATTTGCCTCCCAAAATTGTTTTCATTTATCACTTTAATACGTAAATAAATTATTTTATCACTTTAGCATTTGAAACTGCCAATTGTTATCGCCATTTTTCCAAAGTCGGTCAAGATGATGTGGGCCAACAATACAACGATATTATATTTATAAAATCAAATAAAACAAATTATAATTCGAATTGGTAGAGCCCAAGGTTCTTAACCTTGGGGTCATGGGATCGAGTTCCACGGAGAGCATTTCATAATTCGGAGGTCTCCTACGAAAGCTGCTCTCAACCTGGTATTGGGGGCAGCCTACTATCTTACCTCCCCCTTACCCCATTACATATGGGAATAAGGGTCAGCTAATTTTTTTTTAAAATAAAACAACAATTAAGTAGTTCTAAACTATTCAATACTATAATTTAAAACCATCTAATTTAAAAATATGCAAGCTAGTATATAAAGTATAATTTATAAAGTATTATTCTTTTATACTACAAATTATACTTAATAATATTATATTTTATCAGTATTAAGTTTTATATTTCAAAACCATATTCAGAACATTTAAATACTTATATTATACATACCACTATTAATAGAGTAACAAACATGATGTCCTTATTGTTTCGGGTGGCGGATCTGACTTTCCTTTACTGAAATGATGTTGATACGCTCCTATTTTCGCTTCTCGATTGTACCTACGTGTGAAACACTCACACGTTAAGTTTTCAGTTAATGAGGCAACCAAGTATCGTAAACAAAACATTTAACATATTAAAACAGTTTGTATCATAAAAAATAATGGTAAAACATAAATTAAACTATTAAAAAAATTGCATGTAAAACATATAAAAGAGAATCAAGTAACTATTAATAACTTTGTTAGCTTCTAGTTCATATAATTTGTACTTTTCTTATTTAAACCATATAAACTCATATTAGCTCGTACTTTTTATTATTTAAAACATAGTCCAATGAATTTAATCGAGAATATCAAGTGCGTGAGTCTCGTCGAGTGTGAACGCTATAGTGAACTTAAAAACACCTCGTAGATATATTTGCTCTCGAAAGAACTTCATAGGATTGCACCATATGTGTCATATAAACATATGTCATATATTTAGTTACTCCACCTCATGATATGACATTTATACCTCATACTCTCAATATATACACAATGTGTTTTATTTCAAATCAGATAATTAATTGCATATAAAAACATTCATATAATCAAATATAAATTAATTCTTATATAAATTAATTCTCATTTGCAAATCATATACTCATTTTCAAATCAGATACTATGAAATAAAATACTGTATAAAATAATCAGGGTAATTCATACCCAAAGATCATATAGAAACCATTTAATAAAGAGAAAATAACCTCAGTGATCGAAAATACCTTATAATATACGATTTTAATCAACTTTTTTTGGATTTGCGAAAATAACCAACAAATTCGCAACGCGAACTCCAATTTCGCAACCCAGTTTCTAAATTCGCAACACGAATTTGTAAATCGCAACACATAAGTCAAATTCGCAACGCGATAGTCAAATTTGCAAAGCGCGTTTATTTTCGCAAAACTGTTTACCTATATCGGTAATTAACGTTGCGAATTTGTAAATCGCGTTGCGATAGTACTGTTTACCTATATCGGTAATTAGCGTTGCGAATTTAAAAATCTCGTTGCGAATTTGTAAATCGCGTTGTGATAATACTGTTTACCTATATCGGTAATTAGCGTTGCGAATTTGAAAATCTCGTTGCGAATTTGTAAATCGCGTTGCGATAGTACTGTTTACCTATATCGGTAATTAGCGTTGCGAGTTTGAAAATCTCGTTGCGAAATTGTAAATCGCGTTGTGATAGTACTGTTTACCTATATCGGTAATTAGCGTTGCGAATTTGAAAATCTCGTTGCGAATTTGTAAATCGCGTTGCGATAGTACTGTGTACCTATGTCGGTAATTAGCGTTGCGAATTTGAAAATCACGTTGCGAAATTACTGTTTACCTACATCGGTAATCAGTGTTGCGAATTTGGAAAACCACGTTGCGATTTTGAAACCTGTGTTGCGAAATTGGAGTTCGCGTTACGAATTTGTTGGTCATTTTCGCAAATCTAAAAAAAGTTGGTTAAAATCGTATATTATAAGACATTTTCGGTCACTAAATTTATTTTCTCTTTAATAAATCAGTGAAAATATTTCATAAATTAATTCAAATCATTTTTATTCGAAAATATTCGAAGTTGACTAATCACAAATCGTCATCAAATCATATATATATATATATAAATAAATAAGTTGCACTCACTTGGTGGGTCACTAACATTACTATTATGATCAGGTTCACTTTTATATTATGTCCTCGTATTTGGTTCACTTTGACTTTGATTATGACCCGAACTTCACAATCATCAATTTTCGACATAATTTTTTTTAATATATATATCAGTACCCGTACTAATACAATGAATTCTATTCCGAATTAAAATTCTAAAAATACGATCCATGAACGTTCTATACCAATTTCTATCACGAAACCGAAAATCAACCTTATCTCAATCAAATTTCACTTTCTAGTCCTTCAATAAATCACTTATCGCAATAATTTCCTTAACTTTATATCATTTTAATAACTAACTTTCTCGATACTTACAAATTGGTCCTCGCCCTTTTATAGCCTTCCAATCAACCCAATTCAATATTCCATCTTTCACACAATACTTCTCAATCAGGACATTAATATTTCACCTTTGCAATTTCACCACTAAACTTTCCAAAACTTTCGAATAGACCCCCTAAACTTACACAACTTTTCATTTTATTCCAAAAGCAATATTCCATCCTTTAAACCAAAATTTCCAACATGGTACACAAAATTTCCAACGATTTGCGCATAACCCTTCAATTTTCTAAAAATTTTGAAATGGCCCTTAAAATTTTATAAATTTCCAAATCAATCCTAAATTCAATATTTCATCACACTAATAATAAATTTCAATATAGAACCAAAATTTTCCCATGTACATAGATTCTTCTAATTTCCCTAATTTATGAAATGATCCTCTAAATTTATCCAAACTTCAATTTAGTCAAGAACATAATTTCAAGCACACAAGATCACTCTTACAATCAATCTAAGCCCTTAGGAAATTTTTGAGAAATTTTCCCATTATTTTCCCCTAGGCTGAATACTTCTAAGTTTTTGCATAATGGTCTCTAATTTGTTTCAAACTCAATTTCAACACCTACACATCAATTTCATCCTTTCCAATCCATTTCCATATCAAATACAGTTCAAATGATTTTATTCAATTCTCGTGCTTGATTTCAACTCCATAACACTTCTAACATCAAAACCAACCACAATTCATAAAAATTACACTTCCCCTTCAACTACATCTCACCGATTCAAGCATGAAACGTGAAGATTTTTACACCAAATGAAAGAGAATCTTGTGTAGAATATTTTCCCTATACTTCAGCCAAATCCTTTTATCTCCATTTTAATATCATTAAATAAATATAAAAATCTCATTTACTAATTTTCATTTTTACCCTTCTAATTTTCTTAAAATTTAATTTAGTCACCAAAATTCACTATTCCACTTTAACATTCAAATTCCACCGATCCACATCAAATTATACTGATTAAAAATATCAATATAATATTTCTAACCTCAAATACTGATTAAAAATATCAGTATAATATTTTTAACCTCAAACTACATTCCTTCAAATTTTTGTAAACTTCTGATTCGATCGGTTATCATAATATTTTATCAAATTTTATCGCTTAATAACTCCTTACACAAATTCTGGATTGAAACCTAAATTCCATAGAGAATCAAGGATGAAATATTTATTTATGGAATAAAAATTCTTTTTGAGAAAACTACCACTTTGGTCCTTGAATTTTCCCCAAATTTCTACTTTGGCCACCAAAATTTTGAAATATACATTTTGGTCACTTGCTGAAATTTTGGTGTATTACAAATAACGCAGGCGGAATTAGTGAAATAAGAAACCTTCAAAATAAATTTTGGGATCTATGAAATTTACCACAATGATTTGGAACTATCACGTGGGCATGACGAATTCCAATAAAATATATAATATATGTTTTTATTGGTATTTGCTATGCCCACGTGACGAGTTTCAATAAAATATATGCCACAAATCCCAAAATAAATTTTCACAACAATATATTTTAAATATTTTTGATGCCATCATTATTGTGCTAATTTTTTCAAATAAGTGTGTCATGTGGTGTTTTCTTATTGTATCATATGTCACTTATCATATCACAACATATTCAGGGGTGAATATAAGATTTTATTGTAGATGATGAACTTATAAAATTTTAAAAGATGAAAATAGATTATCAATAGAAAATATAAATAAAATATTTAAAATACATAAAAATTTAAAACTTTTAAAAAGTTCGTCATCCACCCGCCTACTCTCCCCTTCGACCCATCTTAGGTCATATTTTTTTTGACAATATTAATCAATATATCAAATTAAAATTTGAGATATCAAAATTCATATCAATAAGTTGTGATTTTTTTTTAAATTTAAATTTTCAATCAAGGCATTTCCTTAGTCTTTCCTTAGATCAAGACATTTCAATCAAGGCTAATGAACTCCTAATCTCAAAAATAGCAAAAATACTAAAATGTTGGTCTTCAATCATTTTTTTGCTTTCTTCATCGTCTGAGATAATGTCTTCAACGGTTAAGTTACAAGAGAAGATTTGGTTTCATCTTTGGCACAGCTATGGGATCCGTCTCATTGTTAAGGATCTGAAGAACTCTCCTAATCCAAGGCCTCTCAGCACTATCAGCTCAAGCCGACAAGCAGCAGTGAGTGTCGAGACCGGGCTCTTGTCGTGATCCATTGATCTCGTCAACCCGAAATCACCGAGTCTTGGACCAAAGTTGCCATCAAGCATTATATTGCTCGTCTTTATGTCTCTGTGAATGACTTCTTGTTCACATTCTTGGTGCAGGTATGCTAAGACGGAGGCCAATCCAATAGCAATATTATTCTGCCTATGGGACCATGTCATCAGTATGTCATTCTCGGGGTCCCGAATGAACCACCTTATCAAGGCTTCCATTAGGCATGAACTCCGTTTTCCCTTCTCCGGCTTGTTTAGATCATTTCACCGCTCCGACATCCCCCCCGGAGAAGCGAATTGGCCTTGTAAGCATTGCCGAACGCACCACGTCCTATGATTCGACTCGAGTGAAACCCTCTTGTGGATGCATACAGTAACTGAACTCCCTTGGCCCTGTTAAAATCTCTGCTTTCAAACACGGTTCTACTCTCGTATCCTTTCATTTCTTCACAGAAACATAACCAAAAACTCAAGAACCGCAAAGAAAAATGCCGGACTGGCAATGCAGAGTCCTAAACCGAACCTGTTGCGGTGTTTTTTTTTTTGGGTAGTATTTGATACAGGAAAGTCCAATATTGATGTCAACAACTGTCGGATACATTATGAGGTTGTGATTTCGGTCCCACAGGAAGGGAAGTCTTGTTCGGCTGTGAAGAGTTGACGATTGTATCACATCGGTTCAATTCAGGAAGAGCACTGCCATTGGCACAAGGCAGGGAATTTACTTGTGAAACACAAACTTCCTTAAGTTCGATTCCTATGAGCCAGTCTGGTCCAAAATGAGATGTTTTGCCGGCACATGAAATCCCATTCAGGATTTTATGCTAGGGGTAGAACTTGAACTTTTAAAATTTCAGAGGGGACGAATTTAAATTTATAAAATTTCAGGGAGATGAAAATATATTTTCAACAAAAAAAACATAGAAAAAATCTAAAATACATAATAATTTTAAAATTTCAAGGACGACTACCCACACCCGACCCCCTCGATACATCCATGATTGAACAGAATGTCCAGCTTTTGTGACAATACCAGAGTGAATACTTTCATCTCTTTCCTTGACCTCACAATGGCCTCTTTCTTCTTTTACAACCAGAGTTGCTGTTACTTTTAAAGTCATTGAAATTGAAGTTCTGTTACATTTTGTGGTTAAATTATACTTCGAATCTTTATTAGTTTTAAACTCGATAAAAAGTTGTGCCCTGATTTTTATACTTCAGTTATACTTTATGCTAGTTTTAAAGTTAATGGAAGTCAACTCTGGTCCTCAATTTTTTTTTGTTTATACTTTAAGTCCGGTTACTTTTAAATTCAATAAAATTAAGTTCTCTCTCATACTTTTGTGATTAAATTATATTTTTAAGTGCTTACCAATTTTAATCAGTGAAATTAAATTTTACTTTAAACTTTTTTATTCAATTATTCTTTAAGTTCTATTCGTTTTAACCACCATTCAAATTTCTTTTTTTAAGAAAGAAAATATTAAAATATTGAGTTAAATTAAACGACCAAATATAAATGTTTAACCCCAAATATTCTTTATGTCCCACTAAATTTGTCCTTTTTAAAATTTAAAAATATCTTATTTAAAATGTCATATTAAAAAAAAGTCAACAAATAACAATTTATATTTTATTTTTTTACTCTTTTATATATATATATATATATATCATTTTTAATACTTATCAAAATAAATATATCAAGGGTAAATTACACGTTTAACTTAACTCTTTATCCTATTTTACTCACCGTATTTTCAATTTTTCTATTTTGCACACTGAATTATACATATTGAATCATTTTGCTCACTCTGTTGTTATCTATCTAACGTTGTGATGATGTGTTACTTTTTATTATTATTTAATATAAAATATTTGAAAATATAAAGGGTAAATTACAACGTTCCTCACTGAACTCTCTCTCTTATTTTGCTCACCCAACTATAAAATAAAAAAGAGAAGGTGGTCGGACGTCATCGCTGGCCACCATCCACAGTCGTAGATGGTGGTTATTCGGTCTCAAATTTCATGGGTCGCTTCGCCTCAACACCGTGAGTCTGAATATGACCTCCGTTTTGTCGGAATTTGCTCTGAAGTCCATGAATCGGAGATTGAAAGTGAGGAAGTCGAAACGTTTCAGTCGAGGTTCACATATTTTGGGACATTTTTCGGTGAAACAACCATTATATTCAGACTCAAGGGGGTTGAGATGAACTGACCTATGAATTTCGGGATCAAACGGTCACCATCAACGACACTCGACAGTAGTCGGAATGAAAAATGGCGTGGTGGCCGGAGACGACAATGAGGGGGAAAGAAGAGGATTTAAAACGAAGTCATTTTGGTGAATATTTGAATTTTTTAAAACGGCGTCATTTTGAAGCTTGTGCCTTGTCATAACACCGTTAAAAAGTTAACGATAGAGTTAGCAAAAATGATTCAATATGTAAAGTTTAGTGAGCAAAATAGAAAAACAAAAAATACGGTGAGTAAAATAGGAGAAAAAGTAAAATTTAGTAAGGAACAATATAATTTACCCGACTTAATACAAAAATAAGTGCATAAACTTTGCCTCGAAAAACGTTTTAGTGTTTAAATATTTTTTGTTAAAAATAGGTGTTTAACGATTTCTTCGTTACCATTTTAAGTACCCGAGCATTAATCGCTGTTAAAAATCTCGTTAAGTAACACATGTCACTTTCTAGTATTTTTGAATTTAAAAAAAATTAAAAAAAAAACATAACAGTGCATCGTCTCTCTCCCCCCCCCCCTTTCCCTCCATCTTCTCCCTCCCCCTCCCCTGCCACAGCCGACTTCCATGGCTGACCAAATAAAAAACGATAGACCGTTATATCCAATCAAACGACCGATTACCGCGATCGATGTAAGAGATTTTTATGGATTCGAAACCCTAAAACAAATATTTTTATTTACATTATATTTTTGGGTGTTCGATTGGTTGCAAAAGTATGAGGCTTTTGGTCGTAGATGGTTGGTCGGTCGATTGACGGTGTTGGTGGCGACCGACAATGGCAAAGGGATTAAAATTAAATTTTTAAAAGTTTGAGTTTTTTTAAGATTTGAAAAAAATAGGTTTTTAAAAAAATAAAACATTATATTTTTTATTTGAAATAAAATTACTAAAATCACTAGAATGTGACCCATGTTACTTAACGGTCAAATTTAACAGCGGTTGATGTTCGGGCATCTAAAAATATAATAGAGAAAACGTTAGACACCTAATTTTAACGAAAAATTCTTTAGATACTAAAACATTTTTCAAAGCAAAATTTAATCACTTAATTTTATATTAAACCTAATTTACCCATATATCACAAATTCACTTTTTGAGAGATAATTTTAATATTTCTCTTATTTTACATGATTTGACATGAGATCAAATTTATCTCATAAAAAAAGAAATAAAATTACTGAAACAGATGTAGTACATAATTTTGACTGTGTCCTCACTTGACATTAACTCGCATAAATTATTGATAATGAAAATAAAAATAATAGTTCTTTAGTCTCTGGCGGGGTAAGTGGGAAGATAACTTCTCAAGACACAGCATTGACCTTGACTTTGAATTATGTTTAATACGCAGTTGACTCCATCGGTTGCATTTATGACACTATCATTTTGCATGTAAAGAGGGTCAAGGCAATTAAGTCATGATTCTCTTGCTTCCATGTGAAAAACAAAAGGGAAGTCAGCTCGAGAATTCAACTTGGTCTATACGTTTACTGTTCCGTTCAACTTGAGTCGATTAGACTTAGGTTACAAGGCGATAAATGTTTTAAAATGGCTTAATAAATTATGTTCGTTAAAAATAAGTATTTAATATTTTTTTGTTATATTTTTAGGTGTTTATAGTTATATTTTTATTTTTAAAAAAATTAATAATAAAAATATTATATTTCAAAAAAATAAAAAATAAACCTCCCTTCCATCTCGTCCCTCTCCCCCCTTTCACCCACCTCCGACGGTGAACGGTCACCATTGGTTGGATTTTATTTGGAACACGACGAGGAATACAACGGTGGCGTTCGTGTAACGTACGAATGCTGTAGATGTCGAATCGCCAGAAAGCTTAAATAAAAAACTTAAAAATCGTTTTTATGATGATCGGCGTAGTTTCACAGTGGATGGGGGATTGAGTTTTGGTCGTGACGACGAGACAGTTCTGATGATGTCAACGGTGACTACTAAGGACTGACGGTGACCGACTGACGATGGAAAATATAAAATTTGGGTTTTCTATTTTTTTAATTATATAATTACTTTTTTAAAATAAAATAAATTTTAAAATTTTATATGTGTGACGCATGTCAGATAGCAGTTAAATTTTACGATCGTTACGGTTCAGACACTTAAAAATGTAACATTGAAAACTTTAAGACATATATTTTTAACGAAAAATTCTTTAAATATTAAATCGTACTTTGAAATATAATATAATTTTTTTATTTTTGTATTAATCCTTTTTAAAATCATCAAAACTTTTAAGTAAGTTTCGGGTGCAAGTGGTTGGTCAACTCTTCCGAAAGGTCCGGTTTTCCAATCATTATTTAGCCTAATTATATTCTTGTACCATTATAAATCCAATCATGATTCAAACTTGAATATTTTCCGGTAAAACCACAATACCTTACTTTTAATTGAAATTTGTTCAAAGAGCCTGTCCGATGAAACTTGGGAACTTATAATTTGGGATGCAGTTAAGGACGAATAGAGTCGAGTTCAATTTTTATCTATTTGAATATGATTTAAGTATTATGTATTTTATTCATCATTTGATTCGACTCGAATCTGAGAAGATTCTACCGGATCTAAAATCTAATTTGATTTCTAAGGTAAAAGTCGTGTATCCGACATATATATAGATGGATTTTATTACAATTAACTTTAAATACATAAATAATAATTATATTATTATCTCATATCTGATACTTGTTCTTAAACTTAATTTTTCTTACGGAAAAACTCCTTACCCTATAGGGTCAAATCGGAACTCGTTGAGTTTGGGTTCTAGGCCCATCTCTAGTTGCAACGAGGTAGGTCAAATATTTTGTTGATCTAAACCAATTTAATATGATTTTAATAAGATTCGACCTAATTTAACATGATTCAAGTTTAAATAAATTTTATTTGACCTAAAAATCTAATTAGAAAATTAATTTTACGCACTTTATTTAACATAATTTGTAATTTTCACATTTCTTATTAAAATAGAATTTTTTTTAATAAAATAGTAATTTATTCAATTTACTAACCAAGAATCTAATATTTTTATATGCTAATGGTTATATATATAAATATATAAAAAATTATAATTATCACGGATCCATACTATTTCTTCTGAAATTTAAACTCAAGATCAATTTAAAACCTGAATTTCATATAAATTTTTTTTACCATATCAAATTTTATCAAATCAGAATCTATTTAGTCATATTTATTACTATCTCTATTTATAATTTAATTGAAAATAACCGTTCTAAATCAATAAAATATTAATTGTCTTGACAAGATTAATATTTTAAAATTTTAAAGGGATATATTTGGAATTTTTATTATTATACGTATACTCTTTTTTATATGAAGTAATTCTTTATATATTCAAATATATTTTGAGATGTTGGATTGAAAAGTCGGTCAATGAATTACGAATCAATCACGTCTATTATTATCATTATTTATTTCAAACGTTGCTTTGTAGCCTTATCAAAGGTCTCCCCCAAAACATACTTAAAAGTCGAAGAACTGTCGTAATCGAACTCTTCCCGGTTGACGCTTGGTTAGCCAAAAGCATCTCAAAACTTCCCAGCGCTATTATGCAAATACTATTTTTTTGGTTGCTCAATTTCAAGACTCTGTCCCGACAATTTATCTGAGTCGCACATCTAATTTTTGATGAGTGAGTGAAAAACTTCTGTATATATAAAGACTCGAGCCTGAGACCTTATTTAAACGATATCAAGTTGTTTACTTAAACGATATCAAGCTGTTTATTTAAACGATATCAAATTGTTTATTACTTGAACCAATCTCCATTGATCAATATTATTTCAATGTGTAGTTTAAAACTAAGGAATAATAATATTTAATGTATAACCATTTTAATGCATTTTATGTAATTTTTTAAAAAATATTTTAATTCTTTAAAATCAAATCCAACCGAAAATGATTAAATTTGTACAAAATGACCCGACCTAATTTTAATTCTATAATCTCGATTGTACGGTCCCCCTGGTCCCTACGCGTGCGTATGCCACGTAAACAAAAGTGACCAGGGCGGCTAAAGGTCAGGGGCCCACATGACGTCATCATCCGCTTCATCACAGCGTAGTTTTCCGCGCATAAAAGTGCAAGGACGCGTAGCCCCGCAAGCGCAGATCAACCCCCGATGCCCCAACTATAAATATTAATGCGCCAAAGCAATAATAACTAACCAGTAAGCACCAAGCAACCTCTTAAATCGTCTCAAAACTCCAATATTTGTTCCCCAGTCTTTTCCCTTCATTTTCTATTGGAGTAGAGAAACAGAATCAGTATTGGAATCTCTTTTTTATTGTTATTTATTTGGTTGCACAGTGATTATTATACGTCATCTAGCTCCGGCTATTGGCTCATCTCTGTTCGTCGTTTAGCAGGTAAATCTGACTTTGATTTGGATTTTATGATATATGTCGCGTTAGATTATGTTAATTACGCATGATCAGGATCAGATTCGAAGTTATTAAGTTTTAATTATTTTGAAGATTTTGTTTTTGTTTGAAATGGTTTGAACATGCATTCTTTTACTGGTTAGCCAAACAGAGTGTTATTCTATCTCAATAGTGGCGCTTTAACTGATTTTATAATTTTATTATATGTTGTCTTTGTTTGTGCGCGTGCGTTCACGTGCAAGCAAAGCACTCGGTTTATGTATGTATTTACGTAAGCATGATATACGATCAGTGTACGGATGGGATGCATTATTCAAGTATATATGTATAAATGATTACATCGTATATGTATGATTTGTGTTTGGATTTCTTTTTATTTAGCATCTTATTTTCGGAATTGATTTTGAGAATTTGATTATTTATTGATTGCTGCCGGAAGAGATGTCGATATCGGCGGACTTAGGGGAGTTAGCTGGAAGCCAGGTGCGCGGACATGGAGTTTGGCATGCTGAACTGCTTCCTGCTATCAATGATGACCATGGAGGTGTCATTGTAGAAATGAAGGAGCATATGGACTCTGACACCTTTGTTACTGTGCTTAGAGCTTCGATATTGCAGTGGAAGCAACAGGTTTTACTTTAGATGGATATTTGGTTATTGCTTTGCTGAAATTTCCCTTGAAAATCAGCTGAGATTCTTGCTCAAATTGATATGTTCGTTACTTTTTCAGTGTAGATTCATGATACATCTGGTTTCTACTATGCAGGGTAAAAAGGGAGTCTGGATTAAATTACCTATTGGACTTGTACATCTAGTTGAAACTACCGTGACGGTAATGTATACTTATATGATGCAGTTACACATTCTTGTAGAATAGACTTGACTATATGTTTTAGCTTCATCTGAATATTGATCTTTGATATTGTTGAGCATTTTCTATGAAGAGTTTTATCTCACGAGCTAGAGAATTACTACAATGTATTGATTGCATTGAAACACATTACACTTGTTTTAGGAGGGGTTTATTTACCACCATGCTGAGCCTAGTTACCTCATGCTCGTTTCATGGATTACTAAGACGCCTAGCACTCTACCCGGAAATGCAACACACCGAGTACGTGTCGGTGCAGTAATCCTGAATGATAAAAGAGAGGTGCTCCCTTACACTTCCTTTTGTTCTGAACTGTTGGTTAATCCTTTTTCCTTTTTGGCCCCAATCAATCAACCTTGTTGTTTCATAGTTGCTTAATCTGAATCTTTATGGCTAATAGGTGCTCACAGTTCAGGAAAAGAGCGGTCGCTTTCGAGGAACTGGCATATGGAAAATTCCTACCGGAGTTGTTGATGAGGTATGCCCCAACTGCCAGGGTGCCATCATGAGGAGTTTTTTACATCAGCTAAAGAACTGAATTCATGTTGCTATTAAATAATAAGCAATCTCTTTTACAAACAGGGCGAGGACATCTTTTCGGCAGCTATTAGAGAAGTAAAAGAAGAAACAGGAGTAAGTGATGAAAGAGTAAAAATATATGCTGTTCTTACACAATTTATGGGTATTAATAGATTTGTGCGGACCGCTAATTTTTTACCCTTTTCCAGGTTGATGCAGAATTTGTGGAAGTGCTGGGGTTCAGGTATACTGTTGACATTGCTTAAAGCCCTTGGTAAATTATTTTGTTTTGACATCCTGTGCATAAATTCAGTCAATCACACAAGGCATTCTTCGAGAAGTCGGATCTATTCTTCTTATGCATGCTACGTCCACTATCCTTCGACATTCAGAAACAAGAGCTGGAAATCGAGGCAGCTCAGGTACAACTTATATCATATATATCCTTCAATTCATTCACAAACTAGTCCTGAATCAAGAGAATGCAAGTCTACCACCATTTTTCACAGACCTGATACATATTGCTTGTACCCCCCCCCCCTAGTGGATGCCTTTTGCAGAATATGCATCTCAACCTTTTGCCCAAAAGCATGAGCTTTTCAAATACATTAACGAATTATGCTTAGCAAAGGTAGACAGATACTATGCCGGATTTTCTCCGAGGCCTACGGTATCGATGTTCAGAGACCAACCATCTTGCCTTTATTTGAACAACGTGGATCTAGACAAGTCAAGGTCTGCTAACAACCCCTAAATGCAAAATTGGGTTGATAGTACGTTACCATATGTATCTCATCTGCTAGGCAACTTTATTCCTGTTGTATTTATGTCTTGTATAATTTGGTTTACAGAATTAATACGGAACTTGTATCTGCTTATGCGCGGAAAATGAATGGGAAGACAATCTGAGTAGGGCCAATTTAGACATAACTTTGCTACAAGTAATAGCATTGCGAGGTAATTTTAGCTTCTTCACCCTTTGGGATCAGATTTACTACTATTTTGATCCATGAGTGACAGAAAAGAGTTATGTCTCTGCTTCCTTTATGATTGTGTCCTTCCCCTCCCATATTTATGATGAAAGCCATCTTTCTCCTATCATTCAACTAATATTTCAGTTCCCTTGTGCATCTTCTCTCCCCCTGCCATCTTCAACTTAGAATACTTAACCGAAATCCCATTTCTGTATACCTAAATCTTTGAAATCTTAAGTTTGAGTTTTATTAAACTTAAGTTCAATTTTTAATTTTATTTTATTCTATTTAAGTTCAATTCATATCTATACTTGAGAACGGATACAGAAATTTATGTGGTGTGAACTTAAGAAATTATATTAAAAATTTTAAGGGGTGCGAAATCAGATAATCATGTAAAAATACAAAGAAAAAAAATCTAAAATATAAGGGAATTTGAAAACTATAAAGGGTGTGGCCGCACCCCAGCACCCCATTCGGTCCATCACGGTCTATTTTGAATATATATTTTAATTATTTGTACATATCAATAGTCGTACTCATATAATCATATCATTTAATTTAATAAAAAATATTTTTATATTAATTATAAATATTATGTATATATTTAATGTACTCTATAATATATAGTTTAGTTATTTTATATGAAGATATAACCATTAATCAGATATAAATTATAAATAAATTCATTTTTGTTAATTAATTTCAATAGAACTGAAAATTTTCAAGACAGAAAAAGGAGTACCCTTTCAGCTGAATAACATCACACTTAAATATTCTTTTTAGCATGTAGTATGCTACAACCCTGGTACAATTTGAAGGGAGATCTTAAAATCTTCTCAACAGCATTACAAAGAGATCATTTGTGATATATTTAACTATTGAACACATGGTGGTGGTGGTACGGAATCGGAATCGGAATCGAATCAGATGCAAGTCTCTTTTCCTTCTAACAGTAAGACCAAAGGCCTCAGCCATATCCAAATCCTGGTTTTTCATTCCATTAGGGAGTTTCCAATCAAAATTATAAAGTAATTGTGCAAGGGAAAGCTCAACAACAGCCATTCCATATGACATGCCAGGACATATCCTCATTCCAGCACCAAACGGAATATATTCGAAGTTGGCCCCTTTATAGTCGACTGAATTATCGATGAATCTCTCCGGCTTGAACTTATCGGATTCATTCCAGCAGTTGGGATCTCTTCCAATTACCCATACATTAACAACCAAATTGGTCTTGGATGGTATCTCATATCCATTAATATAGGGGGTTCAGACAAGGCGACCCCCTCTCTCCATATCTTTTTCTTTTTTGTGCACAGGGTCTATCAACATTACTTAACGATGCTCACTACAAAAATCTTATCAAAGGAGTTAGAGCCAGTCATAGAGGTCCGTGGATCATGTATCTGCTATATTCTGATGATAGTATCCTCTTCTTCAAGAATTCCATTGAGGAAGCCAAAAAGGTGAAAAGTCTATTGAGTACTTGCGAAAAAGCTTCAGGACAGAAGATTAACTATGATAAATCTAGTATCTACTTCAGCAACAATTCATATCGGGATCATCGAAACAACATTCTAATGGTATTTAGAGTAGCTGAAAAAGAAGAACCAAGAGATTATCTTGGCTTGCCTTTGGCTATCGGTAAAGGGAAAATGAGCACGTTCAGTTTTGTCCGCACCAAACCCTTTTTAAATGTATTCAAGGTTGGACCAAGAATTTTATCTCTTTTGGAGATCGGGAGGTTTTTCTTAAGTCGGTGGTGCAAGCCTTCCCTACCTATGTCATGTCATGTTATCTTCTCCCGGAGAGAATTATTGACGATATCACTTTCCAGATTCGAACTTTCTGGTTGACGGGCAAGCAGGACAAAAGAGGATGGGATATAGTGTCATGGGACAAGATTTGTAGAGCCAAGAGAGAAGGGGGCTAGGTTTAGGGATCTCAAACTGTTTAATCTTACGTTGTTGGGATCCCAGGTATGGTGAATTCTTCAGGATCCTGATTCCCTTGCAGGGCAAGCTCTGAAAGAAAAATACTTCCCCAATCAGGAGCTCCTTAATGCCAAACTAAGAGACATACCTTCTCACGTGTGGATAAGCATATTTAAAGCAAATGAGGCCCTTAAAGACAGTTTCTTCTGGAGAGTCGGGTATGGCGGACATGTTCATTTTTTCAGGGATACGTGGGGTGATTCCTCCCCAGTTGTTTGGATAAATGCCTATATAATAGCTCTGACAATCCTATCAAATGCACAGAATTTATGCTCTCGAGGGTTCCAAGATGGGATGAGAACAAGGTTAGGAATGTCCTTACCGAGGCTGACACGGATAAAGTGTTGAGAACGCTGATTGCCCCCACCAGTCCTGATAAGCTCATTTGGAGTCATCATTCCTCTGGATGCTTCTTGGCTAAATCAGAATACAACTTGCTTCTGCTCTGAAAAGAGATCCCAAGGGATAAATAAAATATATATATGGAAAACGCTCACAAAGATACCAATCCTTCCAAAATAAAGATTTTCGGGTGGAGAGTTTGTCACAATGCAGTCCCAATAGGAAACAAACTGTTGAAGATTCAACTCTCAGAAGGAAAATGCCCTTTATGCGGGGATGCCTTAAAAACTCTTCTACATGCTCTGAAGGATTGTCCCAAATCAAGAAATGTATTAGAGATCTCAGGACTTAGAAGAGATATTATTGAGTGGCAAGGCAATGATTAGTGCTTAAATTATGCATTATTTTGTGATTAATTACTCATTGATTAGTTATTCTAAGTTGCTAACTTGGTTATTTTCGTTCATTTTCAATGCAGGAGAATAGATTCAAAAAATGTTACTAAAACTGATGAATGTGTAAATTTTGATTTTTTGGAATCATGACTGGATTAGTGGGCATGCTTCGCTGACGTGGCGTCTAGTCAGCAACTTCTAGAAGGTCCAGTCAGCAGATACGTGGAAATTGAGACTCAACTGCATTTTTTAAATTTAAATTAGGATTTATTTTTTATTTTAGAAATTATCTTTAGTTTGAATGTAATGTTTGAGGACTATAAATAACCCATTGGGATAAATCTCAATTCATCATTGGGATCATTGAGATCATTCACTCTTGAATTCTCTTGTTTCTTTCTTTAGTTTTATAAAGTTTTACTTTTACTTTTTCTTTTATTTCTTTTATTCTTCTTTAAAGGTTTTCTTTCAAAAATGTTAAGCATGATTTCTATCATACTAGCTAAGTTTTTCATAGCCAAAAGATGAAGCAATGACTCAATTCCTAACGTAAGAATTGAAAAGCACCTCATACCCTTTCGGGTTAAATTCTCAATTTTTTAGAAACTAAATTGACGATTAGTCTTTCTTAAAATCAAAACGCTTTCATTTCAAAAATAGATTTTGGCTTGAATGTTGTTATGGTTTAACATTGGGATTATAAAATCAATTGATACGAATTCCCTTGAACACACTTAGCTATGACACGCTAAGGAAATTGGGATCGAGTTCGACTTTCATAGGCAAAGCATAATTCAAGTCGAGTTTTTCCAATCGCTATTAAACTGTTTTGAGTTAACAACGATAATCAAAGTTAATCCGAACAAGGATTGCGGTTCCTAAATAGATTTGGGAAAATAAATCTCCAAAGAGAAAAATGAGCTACAAGGATTGAACCTTGCGGACTCAAACCAACATTTAACTGGAGGAAAATCCTATTCAAGGATCGATTGAAATTTGAGGCAAAGCGAAAGCCTGATTTTTTTTAATTATCTTGAATTTTTAATCGTTTTCTTTTAGTTTCTTTTAATTTTTATATTTCTTTATAATCTTTCAAACCTCCCCCATTTTTACTTTTATTATTCGCCTAGTTCAAAGATCAAGAACAACCAATTCAAAATCTTCCTTATCCCTACGGATTGACCCTTACTCTTCTTACTACTATTTTTATTTATTTCTTTTGAGATTAAGGAAATTATTTGACAGGAAAATGACGCTTTTCATGCAACTCGTGTCAAAAATGGTTGGACTAGGCCGCTTCCTAGTTGGATCATCATGGACTTACCAGACTAATAGTGCTTTTATGGAATAGACGAAATAAACTTCTCCATGAAGATGAGACTCAGGATGATAGAGAGGTGGTAGTTTCTGCCTCCAACCTCTATTCTGAATTCATTGACGTTTCCAAAGATTGTACGTATTGTAGGACGATATCCTCTCCTCCTCATACGTGGACTAAACCCCCTCTCTCTTGGGTTAAGATAAATATTGATGGAGCTTGCAGTATCCCAAGGCAAAGTAGCTGCCATTATAATTGTTGCAAGGGACTCGCATGGATTGGTGTTAGGTGGGATGTGCCGTCAGATATCTTACCCATTTACTGCAGAGTCTACAGAGGTTGTTGCTTTCATGGAAGGGATCAAATACACACTCGAAAATGAATGGCATAATGCGATCATTGAAGGAGATGCGATATCCATCGTTAATAGGCTCGCCAGTCGCAAAGAAGATGTGTCAACAATCGGCTTGTTTCTCAACGAAGCTCAAGGGTTGATTGCGTCGAATAGCACGATTAAAATTATGTATGTTAACTGTGAGGCGAACAAAGTGGCTCATAGTCTTGCCTATTGGGCTTTGTCAAACCCCAACCCGTTCTGGTTTTACTATGATGAGCCTGATTGTATTAAAACTTATGTTATTAATGATGCAATCGGAATATAATGAATCCTTTAATTTTAAAAAAAAACAATCTGTATAATTATACCATATGATTTCTACAAAGAGGAGAGGGGTCCTGTTGGCAAAATTGACATCATGTGTTTTCAACACTTCTTTCGCAGCATCTGGAGAAGAAACAACAACGAGTGATAATTCACCGAGTTGAAGGTGCATCAAGGGACCATGCCTTTTGGCTAATTCCGTCAAGCAGTGATGGGGAAGAGAGAAAAGTAAAAGGTGCAAGTGCCCTATGAGAGGTAGTTTCAATGGTGCATCAAGGGACCATCCCTTTATTGATGATTCTGATATTTTTATTATCTAGAGAAAAGGGTACAAGTCACCCTATTCAAATGAATGGGAAGACCATCCGAGTAGGCTCAATTGAGACATAGTTTTGCTACAAGAAATAGCATTACGAGGCAACTTTAGCTTCTTCTCCCTTTGGGATCAGATTTACTAGTATTTGGATTCTGATTGTAGCAACAATTTATGTTTTAAACTATTAAAATATATATTGATCCATGAATGACAGAAAGAGAGTTGCATCTCTGACTTCCTTCCTGATGTGCCAAGTATCAGATATAAATAAATAAGAGTGAGCATCAAAAGTTATCTTGCGTAAATATATAATATTGCCTTTTTATGGCTTAAAATATAATTTTGGAACGATCGGGGAACATCAATGGAATAAAATAATAAGCATGATCATGGAGATAGGTTTAAATATTTATAGATGAGTGTTTAGTACTATACATATTCCTTCCAACCTAGGATTCTGTTGTGCTAACCAAACTACAGTTTTCTTTCAACGAAATGGAGATTGGTTTAAAAAGAAAAAGAAAAAAATACAGAAATTCCATCTGTAATAGGCTGCAGCTTATAGTTCCAACCATCTTAAAATTTCAAGCGAACTGTGATTAACCATGATGAGATTATGAAGAATAAACCAGACAAAAGACACCTTGCAGAACTGGGCTGAATTTCATGCACATAGCTCAAACTTTCAGGACATATTAGTTCTTCCATACTAACATTAACATGCACCAACCACAGCTTACAAGCAAAGGGAATTTTATTTGAAAAATCTCTCTAAAACAAGATACACTGATGACCGTACATAATACACTTCAAAGTAGAATATTGAACCCCAAATAACAGCTACCATGCAGCAACTACGGAACACATGGTTGTGGGTAGTGAGGAATGGGAACCAGGTACAAATCTCTTTGTCTTCTAACAGTAACACCAAAGGCCACATTCATGTCTAGATCCTCATTTTTAAGGCCATTAGGGAGTTTCCAATCAAAATGGTACAGTAATTGAGCAAGGACAAGCTCAACAACAGCCATACCGTATGACATGCCAGGTCATATCGGGAATATATTCGAAGTTAGTTCCTTTATAGTCGACTGAGCTATCGATGAATCTCTCTGGGTTGAACTTGTAGGCTTCATTCCAGTGGTTGGTATCTCTTACAATTGCCCAAGCATTGACAATCACTTTGGTCTTGGCTGGTATCTCATATCCGTTAATCTCACATCTTTCAGTATTTGTCTTGGAAGTAACAAAGGTAGAGGAGGGTGTAATCTTAGAGTTTCCTTGATAACTAACTACAAGTATTTCAATTCATGGAGATATGATTCATTGACATCCCCTGTTCCATCATAGACTCGCCCCACCACAGCTTGTGCTTTTTCCAGGACTCTAGGATTTTTCATCATTTCCGACATTGCCCATTCTTCCGTAGTTGAAGATGTCTCAGTTCCAGCTCCAATTATGTCCTGATAAGCAGTTCTTCTTGGTTAAATTACAAAACATCTGTGTACAACATTCAAGCAACTGAAGAAAGCCGGGTCTTATATTTGAAAACTAAATAGAGGAACTTCCCAATGAACTCAAGCTTCAAGTTCTTTGATAGTTGAGCATTTCAAATTTATAGGACTTTTAAACACACAAGATACTACTGAGTACTTACCAGGATAACAGTTTTGATGTTGTCAGTTGTCAAGGGAAATTCAAGGCCTCCATGATCCTGGAGATGCAAGAGAACATGAACTAGATCATCTGTTACATCATCACTGTTCTTCGGATTTGCATTACTAGCTGTTAGGTATGGCTCGTTGTGGGGTTACAAATTATGTGGGTTGGGGGTGCGGGGCGTAGCCCCCCCGGTACGGTACATGGTTGATTTTGTAATTATGTACCAGGGTTTTCTATTATAAATAGAGATGTAACCTAGACCTAAAATATCATTGAATAAAATTCTAGCGCCGCCTAGGCACCGAGGACGTAAGCACATTGCCGAACCTCGTAAAATTCTCGTGTTCTTTCGTTTTCTTTACCCGTTTTCGTCAACAATTGGTATCAGATGTCAGGAGCAAAATTCGAAGTCGCGAAATTCGATGGTCAAGGTAACTTCGGATTATGGCAAACGAGGGTAAAGGATCTATTGGCGCAGCAAGGGATCTTGAAGGCTTTGCGACCTACAAAGCCGGCGTCGATGGATGAGAAGATTGGGAAGAATTGCAGCAGCGAGCGGCAGGAACCATACGATTATGCTTGGCGGACGAGGTCATGTATCACGTCATGCATCTATCGTCTCCAGACGAAATTTGGAGGAAGTTGGAAAGTCAGTTTATGTCCAAATCCTTAACGACAAAACTGTATCTGAAGCAGCGGCTGTATGGGCTGAAGATGCAGGACGATCACGATTTGGCGCAACACGTGAATGTCTTCAATCAAATCGTTTCTGATCTGGCTCGGCTTGATGTGAAAATTGAGGATGAAGACAGAGCGATGATTCTGTTGTGTTCGTTGCCTTCCTCTTACAAACACATGGTGACTACTCTTACATATGGGAAAGAGACTATCAACGTTGAGGAGATTACTGCAGCCTTGTTGGCTCACAACCAGCGGAAGCAGAATGCAGGGGAAAGCTCTCAAGCCGATAGCTTATATGTCAAGGGTAATCGAGATCGTGGACGGAAGCCAGAGAAGGCAGGGTCCGTGAAGCGGAATTCCAGATCCAAATCCAGGGATAAGAAGACGATTCACTGTTACAAGTGCAAGGAGGCGGGACATATGAAGCGAGACTGTCCGAAGTTGAAAAAGCAGACGGATGAGAAGCGTGATGGCTCATCCAAGTCTGTGAACGTGGTCGAGGATGATACTTCTGATTGCAGTGAGGGTGATATGCTTTCTATTTCAACGACACAATTGACGGATGCTTGGATTCTTGATTCTGGATGTTCTTATCACATCACACCAAATAGGGAATGGTTTTCGACATACAGGCGTTAATTCTGGTTCGGTTTATTTGGGTGATGATCGATGTTGCAATATTGTTGGTATTGGTGATGTCAGAATTAAGATGCACGATGGCTCCGTTCGGACGTTGAGTGGTGTTCGACATATCCCAGACTTGAAGAAGAATTTGATTTCCTTGGGCACTTTGCACAAGAATGGTTTTATCCCTAAGGCTGACGAGGATAGGGAAACCATTCGGATTGTTAAAGGAGCATTGACTGTGATGAAAGGCAAGATGACTGCAGGGAATATCTACAGATTGTTAGGGAGTACCGTTGCAGGTGGAGTTCACTCTGTTGAGTCCTGTGATGATACGACAAAATTGTGGCATATGCGCCTTGCTCATCATAGTGAACGTGGTATGGCAGAATTACACAAGAGAAACTTGTTGCATGGTGTCAAAAGCTGTAAGCTCGATTTTTGCAAGTATTGTGTTCTTGGTAAACAGACTAAAGTCCGTTTCAAGACTGCGAAGCACACAACTCAAGGGATTCTTGATTATGTGCATTCTGATGTATGGGGGCCTTCCACGACATCGTCTTTGGGTGGATCTAGGTACTATGTTACTTTTATTGATGATTTTTCACGGAAAGTTTGGGTGTATTTTTTGAAATAGAAATCTGAAGTTTTTGAGAAGTTCAAGCTGTGGAAAGCTGAGGTAGAAAACCAAACAGGACGAAAATCAAGTGTTTGCGGTCTGACAATGGTACGGAGTACACAGATTCACAGTTCCTACAATTCTGTAAGGAGCATGGGATTCAGAGGCATTTTACAGTGCGCAAGACACCACAACAGAATGGTGTTGCGGAACGAATGAACAGGTCGTTGAATGAAAGAGCCAGATGTTTGCGGTTGAATGCGGGGCTTCCCAAACACTTATGGGCTGAGGCTGTTAATATGGCATGTTACCTTATCAACAGATCGCCAATGGCATCGCTGGCTGGGAAAGTTGCAGAAGAGGTATGGACTGGTCATGATGTTAGTTTTGATAACTTACGGATTTTTGGTTGTCCTGCTTATGTGCATGTACCTGCTGATGAGAGATCCAAACTTGATGCAAAATCGAAGGAGTGCATTTTTCTGGGTTACAAGAAAGGTGTCAAAGGATTCAAGTTCTGGGATCCAGTTGCGAAGAAAGTTGTGATTAGTAGAGATGTCGTTTTTGATGAACAGTCTATGTTGCAGCAGAAGCAAGACACGACAGTGGTAGATTTTGAGCAGTTTCCAGTTGAGAAACCAGAAACTTCTCAACCGACTTCTGGTGGTTCCACTACGGATGATTTGCAGGATTATAGTCTCGCCAGAGACAGGGTGAGACGACAATATAAAGCCTCCGAACAGATTGGGTTTTGAAGACTTGGTATCTTTTGCACTTACTGTTAGCAGTGATGATCCAGTTACTTTTCATGATGCCGTTACTAGTCAGGAAAACGACAAGTGGATGGCAGCCATGGTTGAGGAGATGGAGTCTTGAATCACAATCGCACATGGGAGTTAGTTCCCCTTCCTGAGGGTAAGAAGTCGATTGGTTGCAAATGAGTGTATAAGAAGAAACCAGCAGTAACAGAAAAAGAGGGGGAGAAGTTCAAGGCTCGTTTGGTAGCGAAGGGTTTTTCACAGCAGAAAGGAGTTGATTATGATGAAATCTTTTCTCCTGTGGTCAGGCACACTTCAATCCGAGCAGTACTTGCATTGGTGGCTAGTTGGGATTTGCATTTAGAGCAGATGGATGTTAAAACTGCTTTTTGCATGGTGATTTAGAGGAGCAGATCTACATGCGGCAACCTGAAGGTTTCACTCAACCTGGAAACGAGCATTTAGTTTACAGATTGAAGAAATCTTTGTACGGGTTAAAACAGTCTCCGAGACAGTGGTATAAACGGTTTGACTCCTATATGATCAAGATTGGCTACAACCGATGTGAGTATGATTGTTGTGTCTATGTT